TCCAACCCTAACTATTCTATGATTCTTTATGAATTTACTAATTTTCCATGACATCAAATTGTACCTTAGTTAAAAAAACAAACAAACAAACAAAAAAGCAAACAAAAAAAAACCAAAAAAAAAAAAAAACCAACCACAAAACAAAACCCCGCAGAAAACAACACCCCCCCCCAAGAAAACAACAACAACAACAAAAAACTAAATACACATACACGAAAACCAACTAAACCAAAACACAAACCTATTCCTTCCTTCCTGTCTATTCCCACCCCCCAACTTATACTCAAGCTAAGGGAGCAACACTAAAGTTACAAATGTAACCAGCAGTGCTCATTATGCACAGGTCGCTTAGGCATAACATGTATATACACATTTTACACATATTCTCTTAGAAATGAAGAAGGAATGAGACCCTGCAAACTCAGAACATAAACACAGCTCAAAGTTCAATCAAGTCTAAACGGAAGGCGCTGTGCTCTTTCTGCGAATGATGACCCTAAGTGAAATTTTTCAGAACCTTTTAAGGTAATCTGATCAAAACCCATGACTCATCATCAGTGTTGTCTCCACTATGCTACATAGAGAACAGCACCTGGTAAGGGCAGGACAGGACAGCAACAATCCTGACAGGGCCTCAGAACATACCATCTCTGAACATGCATCCTTACATAAGGAATTACATGTCTGAGAAGGGGGAGAATCTATCCTGTAATTCCACTTATTTCTTCCATCAGACCATACTCATACTGAGCATCAGGTGTTAGTTCCTTATTCTTCTCTTTCTGGCCCATACCACATTTCAGCTCTGCAAAATAGTAACAGTGTTCAAATGTGGCATTATAAAGATACTATTTCAAGAGTTCCAACGGATTTCTTAAGACTTTTGCCACAATTACGTAACACATTATATCCTTCCTCTTGCCACCAACTCAGTGCAGATCACAGACCCGGTCAGAACTCGGGTGGCATAAGCAAACACATTCCCAACATTTTTAAGTTCCAGTACTTGACATATAGAGTATTCAGTTCTTATATTAACATAAAAAAGTAATATGCTGCATAAGTCATTAGTTATAAAACAAGATCCATGCATATTCCAGAATATTTATATCTGTAAGTGAGTTTAAATGCAGTGTTTGCACTTAGACACTTTACACTTCAAAATAAAATAGCTCTGTAATCACAAGTTTCATTTTAGATTCACTTAATTATAGTTCCAGGTATTTGCCAGATCTCCAAGAGACTTCTAGATATACAAAGGTTAAGTTAAAAAGCTGGTGGTGACTATCTGCCATTTACAGGAATTGCTGTTTACATGGCTAGTAGAGGAAGCAAGGAAGCTCACATGCTAGAGAACAGTCTCAAATTCCTTATGAAGTCAGGACCATTTAAATAAGAGCTCCAGTTTATAACAATTTGTCGTGTAAACATCTATTCAGGTTCATTTGTTTCTTTTTTCCACCAGGAGACAGAAGGAAATTAAAACATACACATTTCAGGGGTGTTCACCGCATGCATTTATACAGAACAAAAACCGGATCACAACAAAGCTGGTAAAACCCTATTCAAGATACTGACATAGCCTTAATTTTCCTGTTGTACGCTTATACAAGCAGCTCCATGCTCAGGTATATCAAAGTATCTGCACTTACTGGAAATTGTCACTATTTGTACTGCAAACCCAGGGCTGTACAGGTCTAAGCAAAGATTAAGCTGCTGCAATGCTGCTGAAAAGGTTTATTGCTATTGGATTTGTCATACCTACCCAGCTACAAGTATTTTTGGAATTTCTCCAGCAAAAGCTTCCGCCATCTCCCGGCTACCCACATTAGCAATACAATGCAGAGCAAGCCCCATGAAGGTGGGGTTGCGGCTGGCCAGATCGTTCTTGATCGCGTTGTTTATTAAGCGAATCAGCTCACTGTTAGAGTTCACCAGCACGGAGATGAAGAGGTATCCCTGTGATTCAGAAGAAAGTGAAAAAAAATTATTTTAGCTGACAAATTATGTTTTCCATTAAGGCCACAAGTAATTTTTTGAGACATACAGTTCTCCTCCAGTACTAACCATACAGGCTGAAATAGATAGCAGACAAAAAGCTAAAAAGATTAAATGAAATAAACAGAAACAAAGTTTAGTGTTACCCTAATTTATTAGTTTTTAAGTGTTTCATCAATCTATTTCAGCATTTCAACCTTATCTAGTAAGATTTAAAGAGATATTCTACAAATTAAAAGGTTGCTTACCTTTTAATGCAAAACTCAAGGCAGTTTCTTAAGAGTAATAATTTTTATGCAGAGTATACATTTTAGCTTTTACAATTACTACAAGACTCACTGTGCACACAAAAGTGTTTCCATTTCAGAATCACTGCTAGATCCAAATGAAGGATTTAAGGAAGGGTGGGAGGGAATGAAGCCAAATCATTTGCAGACTATACAGTTGCAGCAGGATATTAGATAGAACAGCTTATCTTTTATGGAGACTGAGTTACTCACAATTTGTTTCTCTGTGTATCTATTAGAACTGAGCAGGTTTACAGCCTCCATGTGACCAAAGTCAATGTCATGCCCCAGAAGAAAGATGAAAAGTAGTTTGCAGACATATTTTTTCTTACTGTAACCATCTAAAGCCTTGTCACCTGGAAAGCAAGGAAACAAAGAACAATTAAACCTATGTTTTCCCAGTCCCTACATCCACCCTTCTAGTTCCAATGAGGTACCTCATCATATCTTAGAGTAACAAGACTTAGAGTTGTACCCAATCTGATTCACTGTTTACCACCATTCCAAAGAGGGACAAACTGAGGGTTCAGCTATTGCAGTGCTTGAATTCCACAAATTTTAAATATATTATTTCAACTATTATTCATTCAAGAGTGAGAAAAATGCTAAATATATCCACTTACTTCTGATCTAAGGGACTATAAGTCTCTACATCATTTTGTACTAAACACATAAAAGTTATCATAGAACAGCGTATGTCAGACGATTCAAACAACTGTGTTTTAAAAAAATTACTCCCAGCCATAGAAGACAGGCAGCTTGTAGATCTTCCTAGTGGTCCAGGACAGGAAAATGCGTAACTCAAAGCTGAGCTATCACTGAATCAACAAGACATTCACATGATACTACTTAAAATATTTATCTAAATCTGAAATTCATTTAGAGGGAAAAAACCAAAATCTGAAGATTTTTGTGTCAATTGCATTTACCATTATCTATATTCTAAAGGACAGTCAAGAAATAATATCATCTAGTCCCTGAATTATTCTGCTATGTCCTTATTTTCTTGCTGAGACAGTACAAACATATTTGATTTTCCTGTTTCAGTAGATCAGCTATAGGTCTTCTGTACGCGTTCTCTTGTTAAACCAGTTATCAAATCCTTATCACAGTAAAAGGTCTTAACACACTTCCTGAAGTACACCACAGTAGAGAACTCAGTAACAACGAAATAAAAACAGCAAGTCTTTTTAGAAAGATAGAATGATAGAGGCATATTCCAAACCCTTGAAAAAACATGTGAAATGAAACTACCATGAGAGCTTTGAAGCATATATAAAATGAAAGTATTCACAAGTGTTTAAGTTTCAGAAGAAAAACGCACCCTAAATAGGTTTTGCCTTATGTTGTAGTTTTGCTGTATTTTATAAGCTTGTAAAAGCTACATGGAAGAGTAAAATAGCTTACAGCTCATCATACAAACTAATTCTTTTCCTGAAGAAGCGTGGTACATGTGAACATGCACTTTTTGCAGAACATTCTCTTCCTACCCTAGATCAGGAGATGAAGGAGCATCTACTAAATCAGGCAAGTCTGAATGCTAGAGAGTTCAGCCAGGATAGAACAATCTTGATAGATGCTACTACCCAAAAGGCTATCTAAGTTCCTTAGACTGTGCATGCTGGGCCCAAAGTAACTTGTCTGTCACATCAGTGTGTATTCCCTAGTGATGGGCAAGTTCTGCCAGAATAGCACTGTGTAATATAAAGATTAAATAAGATATCTCTAAGTCGCTGCCCTTACAAAAATAGCTCCAAGCTGCACTTAACTTCAGATTTATATAATAGGCAGAGTCTTAACAGTATACAAGTTTCTTCTTCCTTCTCATCCTTTGGTGCAGAAGTTAGATTTCCCATACCTCATGCATCTATCTACAGCTCCCATAACCTTTACAGGACATTCATTCACTGATTGTATTAAAAAAAAAAAACAAACAAAAAAAAAACCAAACAGAAAAAACCCCACGAAAATAAAAAACCAAGAACAAAACACAAACCCAAAAAACCCCACCACAACAAAAACAAAAAACAAAACAAAACAAAAAAACCCACACCAAAAAAACCCCTACAACCACAAAACAAAACAAAAAACCAGAAGCCTCACCACTACAACGTACAGTTTGTGAAGGAACGAACACTACCATCAACATGTGAAGCCATGTAATGCTAGTGAACCAAGAGAAAGCATACTGGCACACTGACGTAGACAATGATAAAAGGTTATGTCTACAGGCTACAACTACGCTTTTTTTTTGGGGGGGGTGGGGGTGAGATTTGCTTTAGTATTTTGACTCTAAAGACTTCTTATTTAGTTTTATTCCAACTGAGAAAACGAATTTAAGCACACGACTACTATTTTAATATGGACAACAATACCCTTGAAATCTGAGTCTTCAGATACATGTTGTGGTTTTGCTTGTTTTGGTTTGTTTCTTTTTAGCTAGCACAGATAAAGCATCAGTTGCCAACAAAAAGAAACTTTATGTTAAAGCTATACTTATGCTGTGCAAGGGAAAAAATAAAAAAAGCTGCCTTCAGGTCTGTACCATGGAAGCCAATACATGTCACATTTTACTTAGATACATGAAGCAGTGTTACGGAAACTACTCATGACAGCAAAATCCTGCTATATTAGGTCCTGTCAAGATCCTCTGATAACAGCCAGCTCTGCAGAAAGCTGACCAAAGAGATGTTTTTTTTCTAGTCGCATTTAAAGTTTGCTGCCAGAAGGTATTTTCCTGATCCTGCTGAGCCAGCAAACTAACCCAGGGCCATTTGCTTTACTAGACATCTGAATTAACATTTAGCATTAGAAGAACCAGAGTGAAAGATTGAGGGGGGGGTGGGGGATGGAGGGTGTGTTAGTGGTGTAGAAAGGAGGGAAGAGGGAAGGGTGGGGTGAGATTCTTCCCCTTCTTTGGAAGCAATATGCAAAGGAATAAAACTTCTATATTTACAACAGTGGAAATAAATACCTCTTCTTATACTATTTCCCCAACAAAATGGCACTTTTGAGCAGAAGCTTCCTCCCACTCCATCATTGTAGGGAGATTTAGATCAAAGATACCTTCCTTCAGAGAAGCAAGGGAAAAAGAAAGATTCAGGAAGAAGCTGTGACAGCTTTAGTTTCTAAACATTTTTCAGCTGCTTAGAAAAGTTTTTACAAGCTCTTAGGATCTGATTTCCAACTGGTCTTCTGCCTGAGATCTGGAAGGAGAATTAATCAGTGAATAAGCCAAGGAGGGCTTTATATTGCTTAGCAATAAGAACATGACAAGCCAGCTGTTTCCAGGTGAATGATTAAAGGAACAGGTGATACTGCATACCATTACCAGATACTATTATGATTCACAGAAACGGACATCAAATAAGCAGAATCCATTTTACTCAGTGCTCCTCTACAGGCCGAGATCATTGCCATGGTATTTAACAGCATTCATAACATCAGGTGTTTCTCTCAGAGATACAGATATGCCAAAAGGCATCAGAAAGTAGGTTATCACATAAACTTTACCATAAGTGAAAAAACCCCAACAGTGTCCAAGACTGGAGTTCCCAGGAGTCCAAGAGATGGAACTGCAGATGCCTGTTAGGGTAAAATCCACCAGCAATACACAAGTCACAAGTATAAATCTTATTCTTTCATCTTCTCAAATGACTCTGGTGTTGACTTTGTGCTACCAGAAGGGAAGAGGGGAATACAGAATACTGCAACACAACAGCTTAATAAAGATTATAAGCAGATGAAAGTATGTATACGCTGAACCACATTAATTTTGACAACTGTTTGTCATGGTTTGGCAATTCCTTTTTTCATGTTTATGACCCAGCTATTTAAAGGATTACATCCTTCGAAGACACCAGTATTTTAAGAGCTCAGATTAGCAAGGTCCTTGGATCGTGGGGTATTTGAAGCATTTTGGATCTTGATCTTCTTTCTTCACCATGTGCTATCAGAGAACAATACTGTAAAATAAGGACCTGAAACACTTGTTATTAGATGGGTAAGTTCACTGACTGCTTCCAGAAGTTTCTGTCCCTTGTATGCAGAACTGAAGGCAATGTGAAGGTTCTCGATAACAAGCAAACTTATAAACTAAGCAAAGTAACAGTTACTAGAATGATTAAAAGAAAAATAATAAAATTCCCTGTGCACACAAAGGTGTTTACATTTCAGAATCACTGCTAGATCCAAATGAAGGCTTTAAGGAAAAGTGGGAGAGAATGAAACCACAATGTTCTATTATTTAATTAGCTGAGCAATTTGAGGGGGAAAAAAAAGCACTGCAGTCAAAGGTCTCACTGTAGTTGTCTAATTCCAGCTGTGTTTTGAAGGATTCTTTGATTCAGACTCTTACTGAAATTTCAAGTTTAACTATTCAATTTCTCTTCCTCCACTGCAGCATTTACAAAGAGTTATAAAGGTTCTATTTTCAACATTACTAACAAGTCTCATTGCTCAAGTAAGTGCTAAAATAGTACAGCTTCCCTGAGCCTCAAGCAAACATCTGAACAGGAACAGAAGGAAAATTCACATGTCCTGTTATCTTTGTTTAAATACAGAGTAATTTCTTTTAACTCAGCTCATTTTTATATGCTTTCGGGAACATTTGCAAATACTGCAAATCAAGTTAGCAGAAACAGGAAGGATTCAGAACACATGTCAGCAGGTTTTGAGCACAGTGGGCATTTCAAAGGTTACTTGCTTTCCCTGGAGTTTATTAGTCTTTTTTCTAAGAAAGAAATTATTAACAGCCAATCACCAAATAGTATTAAGAATGGCTACTTTCATATTTCTGTGCATCACCTCTTTACCATTTCAACAGGGAAGTTTTGGTTTTCCTTGCTCATAGATCTCTTTTATGCAGCTTTCCAAAAAGGAAGAAACAAGGCACAAATGTGTTATGAGACCCTTTGATTCCCAGGCAGCACTTTCTACCTCTAATTTGGATCACTGGTTAAAAACAAGCACGTGCTTTTGAATCAAATTCAGTATACCTAAAAACCATCCTGCTGCAATTACATATCCTGCCACCAGCCAGACAGGGAAAGAAGATGGTTTAGTCCTGTAGGAAGTTCACCAGGCAGGGTGGCATACATGGTAAGGAAGCCTGACACGTCTCATCTCACTAGCATCCAGGTGGTTGATTACTAACTTAAAGACAACACACTCTTGGCTCTTAAAACTGCAATAATGGCTTATGCAAAGCATAATGGAAAACACCCTTAAGTGTTTCTTTGCACTCAGTGTCCTTGCTTCCTTCCTAGGTTGACACTGACTTACATTCACGCAGTTGACAGCAATCCAGTGCTATACTGTATCAGAAGGTCTACTATTAGCTTAGAGGCTTAGAAAA